GCTGGCCTCGAGCCGGGCGCGCGGCGGGGTGCGGGGCCGGGGGCGCGGCCCGAGGTCCGGTTGCTGTACGGCTAGGACCGGGCGTACTGAGAAAAAGAGATTCCGGACGGATCTGATCAAACACTTGCAAAGCCGGGATATCTGTCTGCAAATATCCGGAATTCCATTGCAGAATCGGATGAGGTAGGCTCATAAACACTGTGCTTTGGAGGTGATTTGGCAGAAACCCGAGCCAAGTGTGAGGAGCTAATATTTGGAAAATAGCCGTAAACCGGTGCGGAGCTAAATTATCCTCCCACCTGCCCCCTTCGGAGCTCTTTTCCTGTAGCTGTGTGTTGTGCAGACGCAGGCCAGTTTCAGTGTACGTGGGCGTGTTTGGGAAGAAGCTGCGAGCTGATAGGAGGTACCTTAGTACAAATGTTAATTTGTTTGAACTGGGAGGGGTAAGGGAGGAGGAAGAAAGGGCACTGATGTTAACTGTGGGGGAGGGGCAGTTGAAACACCAAATTTCTGTTTAAGAGAGCGCTAAAGAGGAGTGTCTAATACCCGGTGTTTAAGACCGTGAAGTGGGGAACACAGGCAGCAATTAATTGTGTTTTATCTTTTATGTTCCCTGGATTCCCTCCCTCCCCCCCAACACTGTAGTTGTTACAGAGAGCCTTGTTTTCGTACCGGTGTTTATGAATTGATTTTATTTTTGTATTCACTGTCAGATCGACTCTTGTTTAAGTTTCTTTGAAGATGACCATCAGAATCTTGGGAAACTTTTCGACCCATGCACGTATATTATTGCACTCACAGATCATAGCTTGCTAGCCATAAAGCCTGTTCCACCCAGATAATTATGCTTGTGCAAGTTGGGTAGAATCATAAATATATTACTGTACTGTTACTGCTGAATATCTTACTGTAGACTTTAGAATTATGAAGGAACTTATCCAAACAGTATTATTTTAATAAAAATAACTTCTCTAATTCAAGCTTTGTGAGTATAAAGTTTATCATCTAGCTTAAAAATTTTGGAAAATAACTTATTAGCTTAAAGATTAAATGTAAGGATGTTAGATGCCTTCTTGCATAAATAATTTCAGTGTAATTAATTTAGTCTAAACTTGACATTTTCCCCTTTTTAAAATTCAGTATAAAAATTTTTAAATAGTAAGATCTACCTTTTTTCCATTTTATTTCACCTTTAATTAAGGAGTTTGAATTTTTAAAATATTCTGTGTGGGACTCTGGAAATAACTGTTCACTTTGCCTAAATTATTCCATATTGCAACAGAACTTTAAAGATAGTGTTTGGTTTATCAAGATTGCAGCATGCTTTTCTGATATGTGTATATTTTCATGTCAGAAAGAACACACCAAAATTTCTTGAGAAAAAATACAACTTAAAAACTGGCTTTGTGAATCTTTTACTTTGTGTATTACACACCAGTAATAAGAGTTGTGTTTTCAAATACCTAGTATGTGTCTTTTTCAGTTTATTATGTCATTACAATTGAGACTGTGGTAGTTTGTACTGAGTGATGGATGTATAAGTGAAAATGTTCTGTTGCAACTTAAAACACTTAAGCTTTAGTTCACTCACTCCCTCATTCATTCATTCCACACATATTTATTGAGTATATATTTGATGCCACGTAGGCGCCTCGGTATTGGGGATATAACAGAAAAAGACAGGTCTGTGCTCCGGTGGAATTTAAAGACTAAGTGGGCAAATAGTCTGCTACTCGTCAGATAATGCTGTTTGTTCAATGTTAGTTTAAAAGTTTAAGAAGTAAAAACTCCTGTGATGAGTTTTGGTTAAGGATATTGTTTGTGTTTTTCCTTCTAAGTATAGTGGGAATTATTACTGAGTGAACAAAGGCATTAAGACAGTTGTTTAAAAAATATGCTGCTGTTTATATACATTGGGTATCTGGTTCCCAACTATAACCAAAAATAAACGTTCTACCTGAAGTCAGATGATGCACAGTTTACATGCGGTTAAACAACTGTAGTCTTTTGGTTTGTATGGTTAAATACTTGCTAAAAATATTCTCTCTCTGCACTTGTTTATAAGGGAGTCTAATTTTTTTTTTTTTAAGTCTAGATTTTTAAAATATATGCCTTTTCTTGGGACGCCTGGGTGGCTCAGTCGGTTGAGCATCTGCCTTCAGCTCAGGTCATGATCCCAGGGTGCTGGGATGAAGTCCCGCCTTGGGCTTCCTGGGCAGAGAACCTGCTTCTCCGAGAACTCTGCCTGCCACTCCCCCTGCTTGTGCTCTCTCTGACAAATAAATAATAAAATCTTTTAAAAAAATCTTTTCTTTTTCTGGCTGTGTGTGTGTGAGTGGACCAGTGTCCCACTGTTCTTCCATAGAATCTGATAGCCATTATTGCTAAAATCAGAAACATTTGAAAGTGATAGTTTCCCTTTTTGTTTAAAATATGACAATTGGTGTAGTTCTTTGCAGCTCACAAAGCTTTTTAATATGTATTACGGATACTTAAATATATGGGTACTTCTTATTGACAGGACTGCTAATTCTGTTTTGTTTTGTTTTTTTTAAGATTTATTTATCTTAAATAAATAAATTTAAGGGGGGGAGGGGCAGAGGGAGAGGGAGGAGAGAGAATCCCAGGCAGACTCTCGCCAAGTGGAGCCCTCCTGGGGTTCATTCCCAGGACCCGGCGATCATGACCCCAGCCAAAATCAAGAGTTGGATGCTTAACTGACTGAGCCACCCAGGCGCCCCCAGGACTGCCAACTTTATAGGCATTATTATCTCTATTTTAGATGTTGAAGCACAATGCTAGTGAGCAGTCAACCCAAAGCCGAGTTGTAGCTGTTACTATACTGCAGTGCTCCATCTTGGGAGTGTAGGGCTTGGTGGGGAAAGCATTAACATGTAGTGCTACAGTTAAGTGTACAGTAGTTACTGCTCTTTTCCAGAAATTTCTAAACTTTTAAACTTTAAACCCTACTCTTAATTGAAATATAGTTAGTTTAATTTACTTTCTTTTTGTGAGTTAAACTTTAAAATCTATTTAATATCTAAAAGTATCACTGTTACAGGATTTCTTCTCTTGGTGCCCGCGGTTCTTGGTCATGCCACTTGGAAGAATGAAGAGGTAGACCAGAGGAAGGGTGGTGGGCAGCAGAGTTTATTGAGCGATACTACAAAGCTCCGGAAGAGGAAGGGGACCCAAGAGGGTTGGCGATTTGGCTTTTAGATGTAGGGTTCTTTTGTTTTTTGAGCGTGCAAGAGAGAGAGAGAGAGAGAGAGATCACGAACAGGGGGGAGGGGTAGAGGGAGAAGCAGACTCTGCTCAATCAGGGAGCCCGATGCGGGATTCGACGGGGAACTCCATCCCAGGACCCGGGGATCATGACCTGAGCCAAAGGCAGATGCTTAACCTACTGAGCCACCCAGGCGCCCCTCGATCTAGGGGCTTTTATGGGGTTGTTGGTGGACTGTTTCAATCTAACCCTCCATGCGCTTGTCATCCAGTCAGGTGTTTGTCATTACCTATCAGTGGGAGAGGGTGGTGGGCTCCTTATAAAATCCTTTTAAGGGTGGTTTCCTCTTGGGGGGGATTGTTCCTGCCTGCCTTTCTTCTGTCATTATTACTTTTTTTGCTATATAAAAAAGACACATAGTTTTGATGTACTTTTAATGGTATAAGTGTTTTGAGAATAAGATGTATTAAAATCAGCCTTATTTTTTGAATATGAGGTTTTATTGTATAACAACCATATTTGAAATAAAATTATCCCTTCAGTCTTAATATTACATTTTTTTTACTTAATTTTCAGTGAAAAGATAATTCAAAGAGGTTGAAACTCTACCTCAGCCTGAGTGAGGTTCCTTGGAGAGGAAAATGAATGTTTTGCATTACTCTGTAAATTGTTTCTTTAAATGCATCTTATTCCCAATGGTTTAGCGTTCAACCTTAGTGAGAGAATGAAGATCGGATGTGATAAATTTTGGTAACTTGGAATTAATCTGGAATCTTTCTTGATTAATGTGTTGAGCTTTTGATTTGGGAAGACTTTTAACTACATAGTTAAAATATAAACATCTTCATATTCTATGGAAAGAAAAAAGTTTGAGTATAAATTTATGCAATAACTTTAATAAGTAATGGCTAGCTGTGGATATAGGAAGAGTATAGGTAGCAGTGTTTCTGTGACTTAGGTTGAGGGTGCCTAGCTATTTATGTGCCACTAAGAACTTGTGGTACGTTCGGGCTCTTGAATGATACGTTGCTTTGGAGTATGAGAGGCTTAAAATGAAGCTCTCACCTTGAACTTAATTGATACCCTCCTGTAATCATACTTTCATGACTTTTTCTCAAAACACATTTTCATTTTTAGGTTGATT